TATATATATATATATATATATATATTGGTTTGTGAGTTTCGAGTTAGGGTGTAAATGAGTCTAGTCGAGTTTGACCCAACCTCGATTTGAGATTGAGCCGGATTAAATTTATCAAGTTCGGGCTCAAACTCGAACTTAATTTATAATTTAGAACTGTTTTTATAAAAGGAAGAAAATAATATTAATTTAAAATACATATATATATATATATATAAACATATGTACAAAAAAAAAAAAGTTCAAATACGCGGGGAGGGTCAAACCTGAATTGGTGGGGCCACACGTAGGAAGTGAAGCCACGTGGCGGAAGATGGAAGGATTTTACATCTCTTTCAGCCATAAGATTATCCACACAATTTAATATAACGGAATTAACATTGTATTTATTGTGGAGGAGAGTCTCTCTCACACGAAAAATTATTCCATGCGGATCGGCGTCCGCACGCAATAATCTCCCATAAATCGAAGAAAACTGCCAAATTTACTGGCTCTTTTTATTTTTTAAAAACGGAAATAATCCTGACCGTAGATCACCGTGATCTACGGCCAGGATCGAACACCGCATGCAGAGATGCATGCGGTGTCCGCACGCAATAATCCCCCTTCGTGTGGCCTTACGATAGTGGGCCCGGTTGAGCTCATCCTGGCCGTTCGTTTTCTTGATCAATCAATCGGTTAATATTGATGCGACCGGATCAAATTTCTTTTCAAATTAATTTAAGCTCAATTTTTTTTTCCGAGAGAAATAAGCTCAAAGCGTAATTGATATAAATTTTCAGTATAATTTTTCAAAATTATTTTAAAATTCTCTATTTTAAATATATAATAAATTTCTTTATCATTATCATATATTTTTTTTATTATTTTATTATAAGAAGTACGATATATTAAAATTATTTTCTCTTTTTTATAATAAATGAATCAGCTTGTGAACTGCTTCAACTTTATAGATTTAGGTTTAGGCTCGAGCTCCAAATTGAACCTGAACAATTAATTAAGGTAAAACTCAAATTGAGGGTTGCTATAAGCATTTAATTGACTTCTTAAATATGTTGACATTTGGTTTAAGAAAAAAAAATGATCCTTATATTTAGAGTGCGTTTGGGGCAGCCTGTGAGTTTCAGGATAAATATTATATTCTGAAACGCAGCCCGCGGGTCGACTTGTGGCATGTGTTTAGTGTAAAAACAGAACCGTGTTTTCGGATGAACAGACAAAAAGCGCGATCCAAACGATATTGTGGCGTTTTCATAAACGCACCCGCACTTATAAGCTGCCCCAAACGAGCCATTAGTAATATAGTGCAATTTGCATATTCAAATGTGGTATCTAATTCAATTTTGAAGTCTGAATAATACCTTTTGACTTGAATAATCTTCTATATTTGACTAGTTTGGTTATAAAAAAATAATTTTTAAAAATATTTATAAAGAGAATTAATATTTGATGTTAGCTAGAAAATTTGAGGTTGTATAGTAATAGATTGTTATCATAGCCTTGCTCGAAGTTTCAATGCAGACTTAGATTTTAAAAAAAACAATTAGTAAAGATACCAAAATTTTGTTAAGCGGAAAATCCGTAAAGAGAAAAAATCATGAGGCCTAACAAAGTTATAACAAAAATTCGTTATAAGTTGATGATTATTGCAAACACTTCTCCCACTTGCGGGAAAGTAGAAAATCTTCCAAGTTGCAACTTTGATAGGCGGATAAATTTGTTGTCGGGAACAACTGAAGATTGATAATGATGGGTGGCAGTGAGCGGATGGTGGTAGATGGTGGTCTAGGGTGTTGTACCATTCAGTTCGGCTCGTCGTGTCGGTTAGTTTGACTATAAATTTGTTGAAATTGGACTTATTGATGACTCTTAATTGGAATTTAAATATTTCTTATTTTAAAGACTACCTTGAGATCTGTTTCATGATTCGAAATTGATTCATTACCTTAATTTTACAGAACTGGTATTTTTTTTTAGATAGCTTTCTCATTATTTGTGTTAAATTTAGCTTTTTACACCTATTTCATCATGTTTGCACATCCTTAGGTGTGTGAAAGCATTTTCCATGCTAATCATATGACAAACTACAAATTAAGCATACTAATTAAAACAAATAAAATTAAAAAAAGACATTTACAAACATACCACTTAAATTCTATGTCTTTACATATCTAACACCTATATTTTATTTTTAATATTTATGTATTTACATAACAACACCAATACTTTACTTCTTATATTTATATCACCATAATCTTTCATATTAAAATTTAATTATTAAGTCCTTAGAAATAAGAAAGATCCTAATTAGTAGTTTACATTGATGGGTTTGTCTTCTACCATGTAAAAAGAAAGAATGATATTAAAATTGATAATAATTAAAAACTCTTAAGATATCATTTAAATTGATAATCATGGCCCATCATGCTGAGCAAGTATGTTAATTTCTTTTTTATAATTATTTCAAAGATATTTTATTTTATATGCTATTTATTAATTTCGCGTTAGATGAATTACATTGCTTTTGATAGAAGCATGGTCGTTAGCCGCATAGCATGTCTTTGTTATTTGGAGTTGCGTAGATATGCGTAGAGGGTGGCTTGCATGATTCACTTTAATTCTAAATCCATCAAGATCTGGAATCAATTTAAGTCAAACCTATCATGCAGTACATGAGTTGGAGCAAAGCCATCATTTTTTGTAAGTTAATTATATTTTGTTGGATATTATGAATCACACCCACCCCGAGAGATAGAGTGTAAAATTGAGAGAGCGATGAGTGAACAGTTTATCTTTCTTTTTTCATAAGATGTTCTTTCTTTTTATAGACGAGAGGATATGATATAGTGATATTACAGTTCTATTCTTGCTTTAATGGATGTTGCACATGATACTCTATGTATTTTATATATGTGAGCTTATCACTTGGTTGTTCTCTGGCTTGGTCGGCTG